GGTTATTATTTCCAACAGGTGGTAACACTGCAGTTAAACAAGTATTTGTTTCTATCAGCCGTTGCGTTGTTAGTGTATTTATTCAGCTTGCATTTGGTTGCATATAAGGTAGTTTATTCCCTTGAACGTGAGTTAAAACAAAGTAACGAGAATTTCAGGACACGCTGTATATCACTAAAACCATTAAATCAATACAAGTTCGAAAAAAAAATATCGGCCTTTTACAGCAGACAAAAAGCGATTTTCCACAGGATATGTACACACTGTTACATAGATTCCATTGACGTGTACAAGCGGCTGCGGCCGAGATTACCTAATCATAAAAAATATTTGATTAAACTCTACCCTCATATGCCTCCTGTTAACTTCAAATTTCTTCAGCGAGAGGATAACCCATTTTGTTTTATTCTAGTACATCCACAACGGCACTAGTCTCTTCGACAGGAACTGGAAACAAAGGCCGCGCCATAGCTCAAGCGGTTAGTCACTGGCTTCCCACAGCGGCGGCAAGGGTTCGATGCCGGGTCTGGTCAAATGAGATTTGTGGTGAACAAAGTAGAACTGGGGCTGGTTCTTTCCGAGTACTTCGGTTTCCCTTACCAATCTTCATTCCACCAAATTCTCCATCATCATAATCACCTGGGGCAGGCTATAATAGGCCAATCAGTAGCCGCCGTGCCGAGTGGACCCAGTTTGACTCCACCCCCCACTAAGCGAATTAAAAAAAACTGGAAATAAACCGTAAATGAGGGACTAAAGTGGCATGCTATAAATTCCGGTCCCATATGACCGACAATCACACCTGTTAATGGTACACACATGGGATCATGCAATGTTAAGACCATGGACAACACTGCAGTTGTTGCCAACGGGGAAAGTCAGTAGATTTGTTCACAAATTTACATTTAAACACTTTAAGACTACTTTTACTGGTCAATTTAATATATTCAGAATATAAGAATAATTGTAAATACAGTAATATAATAATTAGAATGATAAAGTCAAGGAGAATGAGGTGGGCAGGGCAGGTAGCACGAATGGGGGAGATGAGGAATGCATATGGGATATTGGTGGGAGAGCCGGAAGGAAGGAGACCACTGGGAAGACCAAGACATAGGTGGGCGGACAATATTAAAACCGATCTTAGAGAGATGAAATAGGATGGTATGGATTGGATCGATGTGGCTCAGGAGAGTAAGTGGTGGAGGGCTCTTGTGAACACGGTAATGAACCTTTGCGTTCCTAAAAATGCTGAGAAGTTCTTGAGTGTCTGCAAAATTAGAAGATTCTCAAGAAGGGCTAAGCATAAATTTTTACTGACTGGGGTTCGTTTCCTGAGAGGGGAAAGAGACTTTTATCTGCTCTACAGTGTTCAAACTGGCTCCTGGTCCCATCCACCCTCCTAATGGATATTGTGGGGGCTAAAGCGGCCAGGGTGTGAAGCTGACCACTCACTTCCATCTAATACTGAGGTTAAGAATGGTGAGGCTCTACCTCCACTCCTACGTGATTCTTCATGACTTGTTGCTTAATTTATTAAGCATAATGGCGGCCGCATACCAACTGCGTCAAGATAAGCATCCAGACATGAGACAAAAGACGCAGTGTTGCTTCATTCGTGATTCGTCAGGATTAAGCTGATGTCAGCATCATGACTCAGACCAGTGTGCGGCGGTTTTCATAATCTCATTCGTTTCAGATGTGCCCCTTTCTTTGCGTCATGTCGCAGACATCATGTCCTGACTGTTTCATATCTTGACGTATGCAGGTGTGCGGCCTGCCTAAGACAACATTATCGTCACTTTGCATAAGAGAAAGTTTATGATATAAACAGGCTAAACAGCACTGCCAGGGAAGTGAACTGAAGGAAGTTAGGTTTGGAGACTAGCACGGCCTACAGAATATCGACTTAAAATGTTGTATGTGATTTCGCCTTTAGGTGCTAAACCAAATGGAAAGACGAGGATCTTCCGATGTTTCGTCAAATTAAACTTCGCCGGCGAATATATCGGATATGAGTCTGGGTAGGCTGTGTGGATTATATAAAATTCCTTACCCTTGTCCGGAATTGAACCCTGGACGTCCAGCTTGTTCCGACTGAGATATCCCGCTCCTAACATATTCACATGTACTATCTTAAATTACGCAAGTTACTCAGACCTCTCTCGGTTCAAATATTTTCTGAACACTTTGTTTTCAAACTTAAATATTCTTGGAGAATCGTAAAGAAAAAAACTTTTTAACGTTGATTATGCAAACAGCTCCCTGCAGGGGGGGGGGAAATCTTGTTTACAAACGGTGGGGGATTCTGACAGCATATAACCTTCTGAAGTTGCACATTTACTTGAAGGGCCGCAAGAGGGCTCTGAAGGTACATAAAATTAGAGAACAAGACATTTCTCCCCTTAACGAACGTGGAGAACGCATATAAAAGCTAAGAGAAGACAACTAGAGCTCAAAACCAGAAATATGAATTGGCTAATCGACAAAAAAAATCACAGCTATCTCTTGAAAACAAAATAATCCTATACAAAACGATAATCAAACAAGTCTGGGCCTACGGAATAGAATTATGGGGACGCAGGGAACCTTCCGATACAAATATTCTCCAAACGTTCCAATTCTAAACGCTATGATAACTAGTTAATGCTCCCTGGTACGTATCAAACGCTACCTTACACAATGATCTAAGCATAGCATATGTAACAGAAGTCATCAGAGCCCACGCGAAGAAACACAAAAACCGGACCACTCAAAACAACAACCAACCAATAAGAAACCTCTTAAACCAACCAGCAAGAGAAAGAAGACTAAATAGAATGTGGCCAGAGGATCTCATTAGATAAGCACCAGAGAATCATCGGAGGATGATACCGGCTTCAGTATTACATACACCCATCCCTTTTACTAATTACTCTATTTATGTATATTGAGCAGATTGTAAAATAAAAATTAAAAGGAAAATATTCCCCCATACAAGTTGTGCGTTTAAGCATGAACCTTCAGGCATGTATGGTCCCCAGATTCAAAGTTCTTATTCCGCGCTTCTTATGCAGCCTTCCCGAGTTAAATTCGTCAAAATTAAGTTCTATTTCTCTAAAAGCCATTATTTTTTTTTCAAATTATACATCAATATTAATTCGGAATATCAAAATTTCAAGTCCTCTGCCTCAAGATTCTTAACTATCCTAACATCTTAATTTTAATTCTAATCTTATCAGAACGACAAATGAGTGAAGCCTGGGAACCTTCTGACAAAACGATGATCTTTCTATGTCCACAAATTAATTTCCCTCTCATTTTTCTCGTGACTTTTCACTTTCCCTTACTCTCTCTCTCTCTCTCTGCAAGTTTGCAAATAAAGAAAATTCTGTGTAGAATAAAATGGAGAATTTGTTCTTTGAAATGCAAAATTCTGCCTGCAAAAGCTGCATCGTATCATAATTAAATAATTGCCCTATTAATATATTTCCCTTACTGTCCGGTAATTTTCATACGTAATATTTCAGTTTGATATAGTTGCAAAGTTAAAAATTGAGGGTAAAGTTTCGTTGTGCTTAAGTAAAGCAGCACTGCACATGGAGGCATATCAGGGAGTGGAGGTATAGCTTCACCATTCTTGACCTCGACACTAGATGGAGGTGAGTGGTCAGCTTCAAGCTTCGGTTGCTTTACCCCTGGGAAACGACCCCTTGTACACATCATACAGGAGGCTGGGTGGGCAGCAGATTCGGACTGGACCCTGTGGAGTACAGAGAAATTTCTTTCTCCGGCTGGGAATTGAACCCCTGCCCATCACTATACCGACTCAGCTAATGCGGAAATTTTCTTTACCACTTTACATGTTTCGGCCCATATTATTCATCTTCATAAACATACATTAAAAAAAAGTGCTCTAAAATTGTTTTAAAGTTATAATTTTTAGAGTTTTGCTCAATGTTATACAGTATCTACTTATGAAATATGGGGAATGGACGTTGTACTTTCCCTTTTAATTTCTCCCTTATTCTCTAATGTGGTATAATTTGATTTTTATTCTTCTGTGGCGCTACAGCCCCAATTTGGGCCTAGCCTTACCTCCATGAAACTCTCCGTCTCACTTCGGTTTACTAGATCTTACACATTCGGTAGGACTCCTTGGGCGAGTGATCAGCTCGTCGCAAGGCCTCTACCTGTAGACAAACACAGAAAAACGCACACAAACATCCATGCCCTGAGTGGGATTCGAACCCACGATCCCGGCTTCCGAGCGAGCGAAGACAGTGCATGCCTTAGACCGCTCGGCTACCGTGACCGGCGGTATAATTTGATTACTGTTAATAATTTACATGATGCAACTACAGCAATACTTGGCAAATATATATGGATATTCGTATTAAATATCTATAGATATTAAACGGGAACCACCTGGAAAGTTAACAACATTTACAAATTATTCGCTCCCCGACTGCAATACGGCCTCCCTTGATGCGTTGCCAAATCACACACGCCTTACCTACGCCCTTGACTGGTAGTACCAAAGTGTCCATGTCGCCCTATATATTTAGTCGTTTATTTATCAATGGTTCTGCAGATCTCGTGCTGGAACCTGGCCGTTATATTCAGATTCGAAATCGGTAAAACTCCTTGGACTAGTGATCAGTCCGTCGCAAGGCCTCTACCTACACACAGAACATAAACACTGTCTTAAGGTTCGGCTACGCTATGTTCGCTATGTACGCTACGTACGCTGTGTACACTCTGCGACGCAGCTAACATAGGGAACATAGCGTACGTAGCGTACGGAAGTCTGTGTGGCCAGTTACATTGGCAATAAAGGGAGATATTTTTCTGTTCGTATAGCGAACATAGCGTACGTAGCGCTCTGTGTGGCCGAACCTTTAGACCGCGCGGCCACTGTGATCGGTGAAGTGTATGTTCAACTTATAAAAAAGAAATTCGAACTAGGATGATTTCCTATTCTTACACTAACATACAGCTTTTGTTTCTCTTCCTTGCAGTCTGTTCGAAACTCATCCCGACGTCCAGCAAGTTTTCATGCCATTCAATGGAATTGAACTGGAAGATTTGAAACACAGCAAACAGCTGAGAGCGCATGCGCTGAGGTAAGTTAATATAAGGGATAGAAACTCTCAGTAGGTTCCAGCTTTTTCTCCCTCCCCAAAATAAATTTCCTCTCACTTTTCTCATGAGCGTACACTTACTCTCTCTCTCTCTCTCTCTCTCTCTCTACAGGGTTGAAAATAAAGCAAATTCTGAGTAGAATATATGGTGCATATGTTCTTTGATATACAAAACTCTGCTTGCAAACACTGCATCATATCATAAATTAATAATTGCCACAGTAATATATTTCCGTACTTTCTGTAATATTGTATGTAGTTCTGTATGGATGTGAAACTTTGTATGTCACATTAGAAGAGGAACATGGCCTGAGGGTGTTTGAGAACAGGGTGTTGAGGAGAATATTTGGACCGAAGAGAGATGAAATGACAGGCGGCTGTAGAAAACTGCATAATGACGAGCTTCATAACCTATACTATCATCCAAGCATAATTAGAATGATAAAGTCAATGTGGATGAGTTGGGCAGGTCATATAGCACGAATGGGGGAGATAAGGAATGCATATAGGATATTGTTGGGGAAACCTGAAGGAAGGAGACCACTGGGAAAGCCAAGGCGTAGGTTGGACGTAATGTTAAAACAGATTTTAGAGAGATAGGATTGGGTGGTATGGATTGGATTGATCTGGCTCATGATAGGGACTAGTTGAGGGTTCCTGTAAACACGGTAATTAAGTTTCGGGTTCCATATAATATTGATAAATTCTTGAGTGGCTGAGCAACTGGCTGAGGTTTGTATTAAGCACCATTGTGTGACTTCCATGGATGGTGAATTGTTAGTTCTTCCTTTAAAAATCTATTAATTCATGGTTCATAATTGTTCTATAATTCCAAAACGTAAAATACTTTTTTTAATTCGCTTAGTGGGGGGTGGAGTCCAACTGGGTCCACTCGGCACGGCGGCCACTGATTGGCCTATTGTAGCCTGCTCTTGGTGATTATGATGATGGAGAATTTGGTGGAATGAAGATTGGCAAGGGAAACCGAAGTACGCAGAGAATACCCAACCTAGCGCCACTTTGTCCACCACAAATCCCACTTGACTAAACCCGGGGTCGAACATGGGTCGCGGCGGTGGGAAGCCAGCGACTAACCGCTTGAGCTATGGAGCGGCCGAAAAATGTAAAATAACTTCCTCAGTTTAATAATTGTTGGAAGTAACTGAGAAAAATTGCAACAAAGAACTTGCATTTAATGAACAAGTGTAAATATCTCTCTGTGGCTAGAGTGAAAAATTCCTGTGAGAGGAATGCGCTGCTGGTTTCTCTATCCCATTGAAACCCCGTGGAATATTACGGTAATTCAATTACAGTTCACACAGTTCCTCTGCTTTCCGCAAGAGGCGGCCATGTCTGTGCACTACGTAATACGGACAGAAACACATGACGTCATTTCGACAATTCACCTCGACAAGTTTGCCAGCTTTACAATTGTTTTATTAACAGAAGAATTAAAATTTTGCATACACTTAACACGTTCTTAAGTAAATCTAGCATACAGGCGGTCGACATTTCAACTGTAAATTATTAAAAACAATTTCTTGTCGAAATAATTACACAGTGTACCTGTAGGTAGCAGCGCCGCTTATTTAATATTGCTATTCTATCAAGTTTGTGACATGCAGACCCATTGCCAAATAACGGCAACTGAAATGGTTGAAATGCAAAAATATCTGGTCGTGATCCTCAAGGGTCTTTGGCCAAGGCGAACCAATGGCGGTAAACAGCCATTCTAAGTTGTGGTTGAGTCAGTTGAGAGTTCCGATTGTGATAAGTGAGAAGTTGGTAGCTGAGGCCGGGGGCGGTTCGGGAACCCAGAAGAAAGGAAACATCCGCCGTTGGAAGCCGTTACCAAGCAACGACTACTGAGGACTGAGGACTGAGGAGACTTTGTGTGTGCTGCAGAATTGACGGCTCCTCAAGAAGGGCTCAGCTCCATGAGCAGATCCAAAAGTAATCTTATGCAATGTCATTTATATTACACGTATGTTTACGATAAACTACATCATTATCAGTGCCACAACAAAACAGTGAATTAAAGTCCATAGTATTAGAACACAAATGTTGCACGATGTTCTTTGTTTGGTGATTAATAACGGCAAAAAAATCTTTAAATCTTATTATTATTTTTTTACTAATTATTTTACTTTATTTACTTATTACTGCAATTCTCGCTTAATATCTGAATTAACAATTCTGACAATTCCGGAAGAGATAATGAATATAGCTAAAATGAGTTAAGCTGAATTTGACACCAGAAGTTGTAATTTTGTCTTTGCCTCATCCTCCCCTGCAACTTCCTCCTGATCCATGAGGGTGGTGCGCCCCACCCCCTTTTGGAAACAACTGTTTCATATGGACGTTAATAGAAGTTATAATTAATTAAAGTCGGCAATAAATGTTCAAATGGAATTCTACTAATGTCTATCATTCGCTATCCCCATTTCAATAGTATCATTTCAAAACAAGTGTATCGGAAAATTGTTAGGCCATATTCGTCTGTTCGCTCGCATGCAACAGGAGGCAGACATGTCACATCATGTGAGAATTCATTTAAATTAAACATAATTTGGGGAAACTAGTTACAATTTGGAGTGGACAGCGAATTTTTAACCACAATGGTCACTCACCACTCTCATTTAACTTGACAGTTTAATTTAAACTGTACTTACAATTAATTACAATTTAAATTATTCAGCTGCACTTCATGATGCAATACACAGCATTCAGATGTCGTTTCCTGAATTTAATCTGTTCATATTCTCAGTAAGGTGTTTTTGTTCGGCCATAAAAAAGGCAAACACTTGAATAAAGATAAAATTCAAAATTATATTCTTTTGGAATATGACGCCGTGTAGTGTAGTAGATAGGTACAAACATTTAAGTGGTCGCTCGGTCGGTATAGTTCGCTTGCGGACTAAAACCACGGAGTTTGTTTTTGTTTTTTGTTTTTCTTTACCTAATATTTCCGCGATATATGATGAATGTAAAATACCTGATCAATTCTTGATTCCTTAGTTCGAAACCCATTCTGAATGCCCAATTAATTTCGTCTACAAATGGACTTCACTGTGAACCGCGATAGCTCAGTCGGTATAGCAACTGGCTACGGGCTGGACGACCGAGGGCTCAGAGTTAGATTCTCGCTACGGGCAAGATTTTCCTCTTCTCCACGCAGTCCAGAGAGTTTCTGAAGTTCACCCAGCTTCCTATCATCTTTCAGTGGGGGTAAAGCGGACGGGCCGTGAAGCTAACCACTCACCACCATCTACTTCCGATGTCAAGAATTCTGGAGCTATATCTCCACACTTACGTCTTCACGGCGTGGTGCTTAATTAAATAAGCATAGGGAAATATTACATTTACCTTTTGTGGACTTGAACTTAAGAGAAGGATAAAATGTTATATGAAGCTGATAAAAATTATATGCCTCGATAATCACAGCAGTCAATTTTATCGCCCTTCCTGTAAATAGGCACAATAATGGATTCCTTCCACTGATCACACAATTCAATCATATTCAAAATACAGTTAATAGAGTTGTGGATCTCTGAATATATTTCAATGTTTGAATCAGTTCTCCCGGAATTTGTTAATTCAGACCTATGCTACAAGCCGGAAGGTCGCGGATTTCATTCCCGATGAAGTAGAATTTTTTCAATTAACCTATTCCTTCCAGCCGCATCATGCCCTGGGGTCGAATCAGCCTCTAACAGAAATGAGTACCAGGAATCTTCCTGAGGGTATAGGGCGACCGACGCGTAAGGCTGACAGCCTCACCGTCATCTGTGAGCCGATTCTCTAGAAAATGTGGGAACCTCGCCGTCTTACAACCCTATGGGCTTCCACGGCCTGTTACATTGACAGCTCTACATTAGGATTAGGCTCACGTACTAACGGCTCAGTTGCGTGTATTTCTATCTGCTCAACTTGACCAAATCTATGTAAGTGTATATACAATGTAGGAAAGAAATAATTGTTACAAGTACTCACAATGTGGGAATCTGCAAGTAGATTATTTTTGCCATCCTTGATCAAGATAGTTTCAGGTAGTTAAACCTTCTTATGTTCATTTATGCCTCTATACAAGTCTCTAACGTCCTTAGTCTTGCTTTGTGTTGCAAGCTCATTAATTTTGTCTTTCAGATATCCCCCCCTCCTCTCTCTCGCTCTGTTCCTAAAATGTCTGCTAGCTTCACTTCTTACATTGTTAAAATTGTTCCCTGTCTCGGATCCTTTAACAGCTCGTTTCGTTTAATCGTTACAAACATCCTTCGTTAAAGGTTCGGCCAGATATCGCGCTACGCTATGTTCGCTACGTACGCTACGTACGCTGTGTACACTCTGCGACGCAGCTAACATAGGGAACATAGCGTACGTAGCGTGCGTCGCGTACGTAACGCTCTTTGTGGCCGAACCTTAAGTCATGGCTTACGCTGCTTCATTTCGTAAGAAAGTAGACTCCGTTTGGCAGAAATTTCGGTAAGGTAAATTTGTCCCTGTTTTAAGTTATTTAATAGCTATGCCGTGAGGACATATGGGGGAATAGCTCCAACATTCTTGACCTCGGCACTCGGCACCCACGGTCCTTAATCTCGGTTTCCTAGACCGGAGCCGCTGTTTCCTTGAAATAGCTCCTCAATTATCCTCACGAGCCTGGGTGGACCCCGTTACAGAGCCACTACTTCTCATAAAATCTGATAGAGCCGGGAATTGAACCCGGGACCTCTGGATCTATAGGCAGGAACTCTGATTACTATACCACAGAGGTTGTCGGTATAGTTCGCTTGCGGACTACAGGCCACGGAGTTCTTTTGTAATTAGTTTATTTAACGACTCCTATCAGACTTTAGAGTGGCCGATGAGAGAATTACTGTGTAAAATAAATTTCATATGATATAAGAAGCGATAGTGAACAAAATTAACGATTTGTCACTGAATTTACCTATAGGAACTTGAGAAAAACCATCGAAAATAACAGGACAGTCGATGTTCCTGTCTATATTCGATAAGGTAACCTCCCACATAGCCGGTCACTGTAGCCGAGCGGTCTAAGGCATGCACTGTCTTCGCTCGCTCGGAAGCCGGGATCGTGGGTTCGAATGCCACTCAGGGCATGGATGTTTGTGTGCGTTTTTCTGTGTTTGTCTACAGGTAGAGGCCTTGCGACGAGCTGATCACTCGCCCAAGGACTCCTACCATATGTGTAAGATCTAGTAAACCGAAGTGAAACGGAGAGTTTCATGGAGGTAGGCCTAGGCCCAAATTGGGGCTGTAGCTCCACAGAAAAGAAAAAACCTCCCACATAAAAGAACATCCCTGTATCAGGCCGTGAAAGCCCATACGTTTGTGAGACGACGAGGCTCCCACATTTTCTTTAGACAATCGTTACATAGATGGCGGTGAGGCTCTCAGCCTCATGCACTTCCATGAAGATTCTTGGTACTCATTTCTGTTACAGGCTGAGTAGACCCCAGAGCCATTGTGGGGCTGACCTCCCACATACAAGTCAAAAATATTATCGCTTGTATAAAATTCTTCTTTTCAGCGTTGTGTATGGGTGTTGCAGAAACTAAAAATGACATATGAAATATGAAAGATGGAAATGGAGGAGTTGTAAATAAAACGCATTTAAGAATGGTACTTTCTGCACAAACATGACTCCATAAAGCAGAGAGATATAATAAGAGTGTCAGGCGTACCAACACACCGCGTGCGCCATTGCAGTATAATAATAGTGACACTTCTCTTCACAGTTTTATGTGGATAGACGTTAAAACCGTTGCCTGAAATTCTCATGTTATACATTTATGTTGTATTCTGAGACCCGGAGAACAGTTATTTTACATTTTTTTTTCGTATATGTCATTTTTATTAGGAGAGATCTACTCAAATTCAAGAGCAGAATAAAGAGCAAAAGAGCGCGTTGAAATGTGTCCATGAGTTTAGAGGACAGCCATACTGTAACAACATAAAGAAATTTCATGCGTGGTGGGGATGTTGGCGCCAATAGCTCCCCCTTCTCTACCTAAGGTAAAGTCACCACATTTCTGACATGCGCCTTATTTCCATGTTTTCTTGACCTCGGCACTAGCTGGAGGTGAGTGGTCAGCTTCACACTCCGGCCTCTCTACCGCGGGAGAAAAGCTCTCGCTACCAATTGGATAGGAGGTTGGGTGGGCCCCAGAGCCGGTATGGACGATTTGGAGAAGAGAAAATTCTTGAAACTACCGGGACTCGAACTCCGACCTCTCAGTCGTCCAGTCCGTAGCCTTTCACCATACAGACTACGCCACCCCGGCTCCTTATAAAGTAGATGGACTTTTCAATCCATGTTTTTAGACCTGGCTTCTGAGTTGCGCGTAAGGTGAAATATGTGATGATATAGTGGAGCAGGGGTTGTATCCGCGTTGTAGAAGGGAAATAAATGTAATAAAATGTAACTGAGGTCCGATATTAACCCGTACAGCCGATCGCAGTGTCCGCGACGTCTAAAGGTGGGAATACACGAGCGCGCCGCGGCAGTAACGCGGCATTACAAGTGATGCGCGGAGTGATTTGGTGCACCTCGAACAAGCGACGCGCACGCAACGAACCATCTGAATGGGGCGCGCAAGCCGCGAGCACCTCAGTTCCATTCTGTCTTCGCCGTCCACACGACCATGGAAGACGAGGAAGCGTCACTTTTTTTGTTCTTTTTATAATAATCATTTTCTCCGGGATTCCACAGTACAGGGAATGATTTGTATGAGCCCCAAAATCTTCTTCTGACCACTCCATGTTTGAGGCGTGCGCGCTTCACGAAACAAATGGCAACCGAACCCGACCACACTGCGGCACCCTTTGTGTTCGTCAGAAAAACCGACAGGAACCGGATCGCTGCGCGGCATTTGAGGCGTGCGCTGCGCGTGTTCAAAGTCACGTACACACGAACGAATAAGTCGCGAATCCCGTTCGATCTATGTTGCATTACAGCAGCGGCGCGCTCGTGTATTCCCACCTTTAGGCATGAACCATTTCCACCTGCTCCAACACTGGGATCTTGGGTTCGAATCCCACTCGAGGCATGGATGTCTGTGTGCGATCTTGTTCTTTGTGTAGGTTGTTGTCTTTCCACGGGCTGATTCCCTGCCCAAAGAGTCCTACCAACTATTTATAGGGTTAAGAAACTGAAAAACCGCAAAGTTCCAAAGGGCTGTATAGAAAGAAAGACAGAAAGACAGACAACCAATTCACGCCTTATATTCCTTCCTCGGTTAGTGGAAGAGCCCAAATAGAATGTGCGTTCTGTTGATAAGGGCGAGAAACACTGATACTATACAGTATTGTGTGACACACTCAACTTTCTCTCCTTCCCATGTCACTTCTCTGGCGCCCGAAACGAAACTGATGCACTGTCCGCCTTTTCAGACCTGACCGTTCCCAACAGAATGCGCAGTAGATATGGTGGAGTCCACTGAGATAAAGATTGTAGGTAGTGTGTGGCTTATTATATGTCATGTCTTACAGTTTGTCATCCCTCCCTCCCACGAGACAGCATCAACTATTTCCCTTGGATTCAGCTTATGCGCAGAACGGAGGCCAGGTATAACAGTTCAGCCTGTACTATGCTGTGTGTCTTGCTAACGCTGCGACAAACGTTGGGACAGTAACTGGCTCCTTGGTTTCAGGGTAATGGCATTCGTGCAGAAAGCTGTGGCCAGACTTCACGAACCTGAGAAATTGGAAGCGCTGCTGCAGGAACTCGGCAAAAAGCACTACACGTACGGGGCCAAACAGAAATACGTAGACGTGAGTAGAAATCTTTCTGATGTAAACACTCTACTGAACCACGGATAGTATCAATATGGTCTGCGGAACCAACGCTACTGAGAACCGTATAGAGATGGCTCATCCCATAAAATGGTACACAATATGCATTGTAAATCTTACCATGTTATAAATTTATTTTATTTTTTTTTCAATACATTTGTTTTACTTATCTATGGTTAAGTGCCTTGATGGTGATTTTCCGGCTTGTAGCATAGTGCCTCAACCAATTACGCTACCGCTTGCCCCTGAATATCGGTATCGTTGTCAGAACCACAAGCGTGACACAGTTACGTTGCTTCTGTATAGTAAGCTCTTTAAACGAGTGACTTGACAAAGAACGTTAATTTCCGGTGTGGAATTTGATCGACGGTACATGGCAGGACCTCTGTTTAAGACACTGCGACAGGAAGCAAAGATTGTTCTGTGCTAAAAACGCAGCGAGAACGTCACTTGTTCTGCTTGCTCTACATACGTCATTAGGGCCAGATTTCGAGTATGATATGACAAAATAAATTTCTCGTTACTGAACATATACTCGATCATATCCTAACAAACATATTAATAAGGTAACGTTAGATTTTCACATATCTTGAATCTTTGCATAGTCTGAATATAGGCAGTACTGCCGACGTTTCGGAGGTACGTGGTTCCTCGGTCTCCACGGCTACAGTCAGTAGGTAGAATTAACATAGATGGGGCTATTATAAATAATTTGGTTGATGAGAATAGTGAATTTTCTGAAAGGTTACAGACACAAGCATGAAACAACTTGAAAAGAGCATGGAAACTCATAAAGTTAATCTAGAAATGTTCTCTGCTGCGTTAGGTATTCTGCAAACGTCAAAGCGATATTCGAATTCTTCCCGTGTACGTCAAGACTGTGACTCATCGACGTTAGCTACGCCATTTGAAATTCGCTCTCGAAGGGATTGTGACGTCGTAGGTATACCTGCTCATTAATATATAAATCGCATGGAGTGAGGTCTGGGGATCTAGGGAGCCAAAGAATGGGTCCTGTTTATCCTAACCAAGCCTTCGCACTTAATATTAATTTGCAGCATCCTTTTGCACCGCGTAGATCTGATTTTGCGTTCCACTTTTTTGTCGTCTATGTGCAACGTCGGTTAATATTCTCTCATCGGTCTCTCTCTGTATGGTCACTACATGTTTCGGCCTAACCGGCCATCATCAGGTGTACAGGTTGTTGTGATCAAGGAACCTACTGCTCTCTGTAACGCCATTCTGCTTTTCTTATGCAGTTTCCTCGGATTCTAGGCTGTGTGGGTTAACCAAATGTTTTATTTGGGTGTTCTTGAACAACTGCTATATACGTGTTTGCCTGGTGGATTTGTTGGTTTGTTGGTTTGCGGCCTGTGGCTTAGCTCCATTCGCGGCTAATATGTTTGCCATTGAAAATTTAACAGGTTTCCTTGTTGTTGTCATGTTATTTCATGTTTGTATCTGTAACCAGTTCGAAAATACACTAATTTTTACACGAAAATAATTCATAATAGCCTTTTTTGTCCGACAGACTCAGGGAGTGGATCGCATGTTCTGGAAATTAAGATTTGCAATTTAAGTTTTTATCGCGATATTTGCCTGAATGGCTGAGAAAACCATGAAGACCCATTTCCATCAAGTTAATCGACATTTCGGCCGAGGTTCAAACCCGAAATAACAAAACTTACTCGATAGTCAATATTGCGACAAGGTCAAACCGCCCAAACGTAACATCTGTCTGTTAGAGCTTTTCAGTTCTGCGATGGGAATGAGGTTGACCCAGTTCCATTTTGCAAGCTACCTTATGAAGTCCACTCAATTTGGAAACCCACGTGTTACCATGAAATATGTTCCAGTTGCTTTATACCGTCCGAGCTCTATTCAGCGGTTAATGAAATTTTGTTATGTGTCTGTGCACGAAGAATAGCAGAGGGAACAGACAACTGCCATTTGCATTACTATCTCTGCTTTTTTTGTTACGAGTCTATGAGGTGTGCACTGGTGGAAACGCCATCAGGCAGAAGTACGTTAAAAGAGCGAGAGATGATGGAAGAACTTCGCTTGAAGGCCTGAACAAAAGTTTTGGGAACTCCAAAACTTTACTAATACTAATTTTCTATTCACCTGTTCATTCGCGTACCCCTTCACAGCGACACAAAAGAGCTGTGTGCGAGTCTAGTTTATGATTTCCACGCTTAGTTTATAATAAGTAAAGGGAAAAATGGAAACAAAATCATGGAAATCTATCGGATTCATTTCTTCTCCTGGTATCCGAGTTCGATTCCCGGTGCTACCAGATTTTCTGAGAAGCAGTGGGTCTGGAACGGGGTCCACTCAGCCTCGTGATGATAATTTAGCAGCTATTTCAAGGAAATAGCGGCTGCGGTCTAGAAAACCGAAATTAACGGCCGTGCGGATTCGTTGCGCTGGCCACGCGACACCCTCTATCCGCTAAAGTCGGCACTAACTTCGCTGACTAGTGGCGGTCGCTCTGTCGGTATAGTTCGCTTGCTGACTAAAACCACGGCGTTTGTTGTTTGATAATAAATCACATAAGTCTGACACAGCTCCACGTCTGAACGAAAGATCTGTAACTCCAACACTGCTTTAACACTGATTTTGTAGTGACCTGCAAAGTCAATAACTCTTTAAGGAAAGACTCGTAAGATACTCAAGATATTGTGTTATAATATTCATGCTAAGATTATAAGTAAATATGAGAAAATAACAACAAAGCTCTGGATATATATTATAGTATATAGACCAGTTGCTAGGAAACGACAGTGCAATAATCAAATATGCGGCAGCCGTTACTGATGTTCGAAAAAAAATGCTCCCAAGCAACAATTGAACTACAAAACTAAGGAGATGTGTTTTCTACGCGGTCCGTGCCTAGTACATATAAGAAGACCCCAGTATTGCTTGAGAGTTCAGTCAATCAGAAGAGTAGGAGATTGGTGGGAGATGACGGCCAGCCTGGGAGTCAGTTGTGAGACAGTCGCTAGCCAGGAAGGACGTGAACACGGAAGCTAATAAAGCTATGGCGTTGGAAGTCTTTACCAGACAACGACTGGTGAAGGCACAGCAGGCTGAAAAGTCTCAGTGCGTGCTGTAGTGAACTGCAGAATGTGTCAATTAGCGATAGCGTTCTGTAAGAATTCAATAAATCCAATTACCAATCCAAACACCATCTATATTTACGCCTATAGGCGACAGTATTCCCTTCTGGTGACAATAAAACGAATCACTCTGATATAGGACTACTTCTGAAGTCTCTAATACTCGTATTAATTTTCTATGTACTTGCAATTACATTAAAATACTTAATAATAAATAATTAATATTATTGTATGCACTTTTATTAATACTGCAGTTCAGTGGTGTATATATGTTGGCCATGTATTTGCCTGATGATGGCTCTTAATAGCCGAAACATGTAGCAGAGCTAAACTAGGCACTGACCTTGATATTTGTTGTGTTGTGACGGTTTTAATAAAGAAGTTGTATATTATAACACGACAGGATGCATGAAATGAAAATATATCACAGAGAACACGGACGCTGCAAGAAGAAGTAGCGCAAGTGAAGATAAGGGTGATGTTCTAAAGCAAATGTGTTTTAATGAGTTAACGATGGAATAAAATTTGAATGTATTAACTTAAGAAATAATACAGTGTAGTAATTTCAACAAGTGAACAGTTGCTTGAGGATGGTCAAGTATGACCGAAACATGTGGCAGTTTAATTTTAATTTTAATATTCTTAAAAATTACGGAATATTTGAAAGTTACATTAAAGACAGGAAGTGGTCAAATTATATTTTTCTACTGTTTTTTATCTTTATAATTTCGAACACCAGACGGGAAGACAAAATAAAATTCTAAACTGAATAGTACTGAATTACCCGAACCTAAAATGTCCTCTTCATTTCTTTAGTAATGAAATTTTGATTTGTTAGAGGCCGCGCAATAGCTCAAGGCGTTAGTCGCTGACTTCCCACCACGGCGGCCCGGGTTCGATCCCGGGGTCTGGTCAAGTGAGATTCGTGGTGGATAAAGTGGCGCTGGGGCGGGTTTTCTCCGGGTACTTCGGTTTCCCATGCCAATCTTAATTCAACCAAATTCTCCATCATCATAATCACCCGGGGCAGGCTATAATAGGCCAATCAGTGGCCGCCGTGCCGAGTGTACCCAGTTGGACTCCACCCACCACTAAGTGAATTAAAAAAAAAATTTGATTTCTTAGTGTCGTCTCAAAATATCTTAACCTTATCACAATTTCAAATAATCTTGTTACTTTATATTATTATCTGCAGAATTCTGATTGCATCAACGCATTACTTCCTTAGTTTTCCCTTCATTTACGTGTAGATCAACCTCCTTACGAGCCTGTAGCAAGGTTTCCAGTTAAACTGTACTGGTACAAGCCACTCATATCAAAGCTCTGCCCGGAAGCACCAACATCCACAGCACAACACAATCCGGCTAGCTAATATTACCACATACTAGAGATACACGCACTCCGTCCCAGCTGTCATATATCATGCTAAAGACATTTAACCCTTCAAGCAATGTGTTATCATACTTCGCGCTTCAAATATAAGTCTTCGTTTCTCACTACATATTCAGACCCTTCAAGCAAATAACATTGAGGTCTGACAATTTGTAACCCGACTGGAATACTCGTATGCCACTAAAAAAAGGCAAGTCTATCCCTGTAAGAGGTCGTGGAGCCCCATAAGATTGTGAGACGTAGAGGCTCCCACATTTTTCTCGCAGATGGCGGTGAGATCAGACTTACTCGCCAGCCGCCCTTCACACCAAAGAATATTCCTGGTACTCATTTCTGTCAGAGTCTGAGTCGATCCTTGGGCCTTGGGACTGGAATACTCGTATGCCACTAAAAAAAGGCAAGTCTATCCCTGTAAGAGGTCGTGGAGCCCCATAAGATTGTGAGACGTAGAGGCTCCCACATTTTTCTCGCAGATGGCGGTGAGATCAGACTTACTCGCCAGCCGCCCTTCACACCAAAGAATATTCCTGGTACTCATTTCTGTCAGAGTCTGAGTCGATCCTTGGGCCATAGTGCGGCTGGAAGGATTAGGTCAACTGAAAAAAGTCCAATGACATCGGGAATCGAACCCGAGACTTACCGACTTGTAGTACAGTGCCTCACTATATACTATAAAGCGAGAAGAAGGGTTAAGGTCTTCGAAACAGTGAATATTAATATCACGGTCCTCTGTGTAGTTTTGTAGATAGGTACCGACGTTTCGGCAGAACCTCTGCGTTCATATTCAAGGAAAAGAGTGTCGGAAACATGGATATGAGTAAACAAATGTTCTCCCATAACTAATTTTTTCCTCCTATTATTTCCTCCATATTATTAATCTTAGCGTACTTCGCTTATTTTGAAAAAAACAAAACAAAACAAAAAACAAGATCAGGCTCATGACATAATTTTTCAGTCTGTCTGCCTGTACGTGTATCCCTAACAACTTTTGAATGATTGAACCAATGAGCCCGTCTCATCGGCTTGCTTCATGAACCCCTCCCGTAAGTCAGTATTTAACGGCTCGGTAACAACAAATACACGCAACATTACAATAATTGTTGGGCGCGTCGTTTTCTATATAGTCCGTGTCCTTTCAGAAGACAGTCTATGTATCCATTTATCGTTTTCTACCCAAATGACCTGATTCGTGATGGAAGTCGAACCGCCGAGGTATAAAGCCGGAAACTAAACGCCTCATCTATGGCACGGACCTGCGTTGGCAAATATTTACCACAATCTACGGCGTCACATCTCAGAAGACCGTATTCTCGAGTGTGATAAATTACAAAGCTTTATGTACTCATGCGCGTATTTTAATGTCCCTGATATGCATAGAAATACGCTGAAATTTTACGACAGGATGTGACACCGTGTAGTCGGGCAGTTTATCGACATTCAGGAGGAATGTACTGTAAGCATCGTCAGTGTCAAAAAGTAAGCCAAGCCAGCGGATAATTTCTTCAGCAAACGAGGGACCATTAGCGTCTTAGGAAGGATAATTCTATGTGGAGATAGTGTTTGATATTTAAAAATCTGTTTCCACCACACAGAAAAGCCGCTGCGTCTACATTAGAAATATCAATGTCTGTATACAGAAATAAGAGCAGTTTATCTTTAAAATCATATGAAATTCATAAATGCGGAAAAAATTCAGAGTCTTCTGGCATGTAGACCCGTTGCGAGGCAACGATGTCCGTTACTGTGCAACAACCAGTAAACAGCAACAGAGGAACGGTGTTTTCTGTGCGGTCCGTGCAGAGACGTTATAAGCAGGTCAGTGAGGAATGAGTTCAATCATTTGAGATGATTCAGTTGGATGGTGAGTGATGAGTTAGAGAACTGCTGAGGTTCAGTAGTTGCGAGTTGGCAGCTGAGGCCGGGGATAGTTAGAAACTCAGAGGAAGAGGAAAGTCAGCCGTTGGAAGCCGCTACAGAGTCACAGGTAGTGAAGACGTGTCTGTGGATACTACTTTGTATGTGTGAGATAGTGAACTGTAAGGTGTAGTCACGCGACGTATCAAAGAGTCCAGTAAATCCCATCATCAATTCAAAACCCGTCTGTAGTCACACTCCGTCACTTGACAGTACTTAAATATTAAAGCAGGCAGTATATATAACAAACACTGAGTTCTAAATGGTTATACCTAATTTTGCGCCACGCTGTAGTTGCATATTAATCTAAATCTGAGGTTTCTACAACGCTCGAGTTTAACATACCTCGGTCCTGTTGGTTCAGAAGCCCTCGCAATTAGCCCACCTCAGTTCAGCAATGTCAACCAACATTTTTGCAGCCTCACTGTAGACAGTAATCAGCGGCGATTTGCAGGTTTGTCGCTGTAATAAATTATTAATTGTCGTAAATATTCTCAGTGTAACAGGCTATGTAATTATACTACGGAATTAATTGGCTTTGTAATCAGTAAGTAATTATCTCCACATGCAATTTCAGCGTCGTAAATCCTTGAAATTCTCGCGTGTAATCAAGTCCACAACCAAATATTTTTATCTAATTACAGGAATCAATACACATGGGTCTGAACTTAACCTCTATATTAAATACCATTATTTGAACATAGTGATATTGTGTACTGCTTCGCTTTTATGATGTATAGCGACACTGTCTTAACTCTGATATGGAGAAAAGAAGCAAATAGCAAGAACTAAACCTAGATAGAAGGCTAATATTTAAATGGATCTTAAAATATTGGATGCTTCGTTCTTGAGTGGATTAATCTGGGTCGTGATAGATATAAATGGCTGCCATTTGTGGATACTGTGATTAATCATTGGATTCCATAAAATTCCTTGGAATATTTTGAGCTTCTATGTAAAAATTAACTTCTTAAGGAGGACGCTGCTCCAGGGATTTTGTTTGTTATTTAGTTAGTATTAGAAATTTGAAAAAACTTTACTTTTTTCATCACTATTATTTCATATGCAGAACTTTACGTATGCAGCGATAGACATCACTGAAAATTCATCATGCACTGCAAATGTTTACGAGGCTTTAGCGTTAACTTTCTTCCAGTAGTAGCAATGTTGTGTTTTAGTACAACTCGCTAGCATTAACAATGACTTTTCCAGAACTATATACAACTTGCAGGTACAATGATATCAGATATATAGCAGGAATAAACAGCTTCTGTACGTAACATCAATACCCCACCGTCAGCCATGTATCTGTGTATACAGTTGAGCAAGTCAGTGCTCTTCATTCAAAATGTATGACGTCAATCATTCTATTCACTAGGACACATACGCAATCAACTGAAATGGGGAGAAGGAAAACTAAGAAACAAGAAATAGCGTGGAATTTATCGATAGCTATCTGTATTTAACCCTTTCAATACTGACTGACTGTTAAACTGTTTCTAGCCGAGAAGTTATAAGCAGGAAAGTTAGTGAGAGTCAGTAGACTTGAGTTAGTGATTAAGTTAGACAACTTCTGACGTTCAGTTGTTGGGCGCTGTTACCGTGAGAAACTGGTAGCGGAGGCACGGAGAGAGTTATGGAACCCAGAGAAGGGGAACGTCCGCCGTTGGAAGCCGTTATCAGGCAACGACTAGTGAAGACACAGCAGACTGAGAAGACTTAATTGTGTGCTCTAGTGAACTGCACAGTGTGTGAATTAGTGAAACAGTTATAAGTACAGTCACGGACAAGTATGAGTTCAATAAACAACACTATAGCCACTCATACACGTGAAAGTTTGCTTTTTTTTACACTACTGACCTGAAGCTGAGTAGAAGTTGAAGAAATGACGGAGAGAGAGACGAAACTTAAAAAAGAAGGAAAACAAGGAAGATGAGGAGGGTAAGAAGGAAGCCAAGAAGAATGAGAGAAAGAGGAAAAGAACAGGGAGAAGGTAGTTCTTTTAGTATGACTCGAATTTGTCTGTTTATCAAGACCTTGGTACCCCGATACGTGACTGGCTTACTACAGTCGCAGAGATTTACTGCAATTGCTTTTGAGACTTCCTGTTACACTCAACCTAGGAGACACCTCAGCTTACAGCCATGTTATTTCTTGACGCGAACGTGATATCAGCTACACTCCCTACACCTCCAAGTAGGTCTAGACACTGAGGTTGCGTCTGCAGAAGTGTCAATCAAGGGGCAACACTCTTACATTAGGTATCCAGATAAATTTTCTTGTGCAAGGAATTCCTGACAGGTACATCTCCCGCTACAGTCACAGAATTCACTCTCCGCCTCGGTGCGAATTAGAAATAATTCCGAGGCAATATTTCATAGGGCCCCTCGCTCTGTTTCTCTAAGGATATTAGGGTCAGCCCATCGCTAGACATAACGAAACAGTACCGAAGTTAGCACGGAGTTAAATGGCAATTCAGGCCGCGCCATACCTCAAGCGGCTAGTCGCTGGCTTCCCACCGCGACGGCCCGGGTTCGATCCGGGGTCTGGTCAAGTGGGATTTGTGGTGGACAAAGTGGCGCTGGGGCAGGTTTTCTCGAAGTACTTCGGTTTCCCCTGCCAATCTTCATTCCACCAACTGCTCCACAATCACCCTCACCTATCATCTGGGGCTGGTACATTAGGCCAGAAGTGGCCGCAGTACAAGGGACTTAGTCCCACCCCACTAGCAATAATAACTGTCAGGATGTAATGAGTGGGAGGCGGGATAGCGCAGTCGGCATAGCGACTGGCTACGGGCTAGACGAAGGAGGGGTCAGAGTTCGAGTCCCCTTAGGGCTAAGGATTTTCTCTTCTCCATGTCATCAAGACCGACACTGGGGCCCACCCAGCCCCTTATCCAATGAGTATCCTGGGGCTCCTTACTCGGGAATAGAGCGACCAGGGAGTGGCGCTGACCTCTCACCTCAAACTAGTGCCGAGGTCCACTCCCCCATATGTCCACATCCCTCAGGATATGATGACTTGCTGAACAGTAGATCAAATATGTCCCTCTGCTTAATTAATCAAATATTATTCCATGAAGACATGTGGGTTAATGGAGGTATAGCTCCACCATTCTTAACCTCGGCACTAGATGGATGTGAGTGGTTCATGCTCCGTCCACTTTACTCCCGGATAGATCGCCCCGACCCAGAACCGATCTGGACGAGGTGGAGAAGAGAAATTCTTGCGCATACCGGGAAATGAACGCCTACTGTCCAGCCCGTCGCTATATCGACTGAGCTATCCCAACTGCGAACATTAGAAGCATCAAGGTAATAACGTTTACATTTCTAATTCTTAGGAAGAGCATTGTCTTCCGAGACGTTACGTTGTGATAGTTTCTTGGGTGGGTTGAGACTGAGTCCAATCGGTACGTCGGCCATAAACTGGCCTATTGTACCAGCTCTGGATGATATATTAGAGTGTGGAGGAGTCAGTGGAATGAGAACTGGTAGGAGATACCGCAGTACTCGGAGAAAATCTGCCCCAGTGAACCTCAGTCCACCACAAATCCCATATGATCTGGTGTGGGCTCGAACTTGGGCCGCCGCAGTTAGAAGCCAGCGACTAACCACCTGAGCTATGGCACTGCCACTGAAGTTATGTTACTTCACAGTTACCTACGTTTCGGAGAAACACGCTTCGTCCGTCATTTTTAAATCCTGAAGATGGAGGGAACTGGTTCTTTCGAAACGCTAGTAACCTACCTGCATGGCGTTACAACTCTTCACAGTTACTGATACCACTCACTCATGGAGCTGAGCCCTTCTTGAGAAACCACAAATTCTGCAGCTACTCAAGAACTTCCCAGCATTTTATGGAACCCGCAGGTTCATTACCGTGTTAACAAGAGCCCTCCAGCGGTCCATATCCTGAGCCAGATCAATCCAATCCATCCCATCCCATCCTACCTCTCTCAGATCAATTTTAATATTGTCCACCTACCTACATCTTGGCCTTTCCAGTGGTTTCTTTCCTTCTGGCTTTCCCACCAACACCCTCTTCTCCCCTATTCGTGCTACATGCCCTGCTCATATTAACCTCCTTGACTTGATTATTCTAATTATACTTGAAGAATGTAGAAGTTATGAACTAAATCTGGCATCTTGTTTCGTTTTATTTCACATTCTCCTTTTTCACGGAGCACGCGGTAGGGTAGTTGGCTGAGGAACTATGCTACAAGCCGGAAGGTCGCGGTTTCGAGTGCCGATGAGGTGAATTTTTTCAGTTTACTTAACTTCCTGCTGCACTATGGCCTTGGGGCCGACTCAGCCTCTAACAGAAATGAGTACCAAAAATCTTCCTGGGAGTAAAGGGCGCCGGCGCATAAGGCTGCCAACCTCACCGCCATCCGTGAGCCGATTGTCTAGAAAACATGGGAGCCTCAACCTCTCACAACCCTATGTGCCTCCACGGCCTGTTACAGGGACACCTTCCCTTGTTTTTACCTTTTTTTTACCCAACTATTTCTTCTTTTACGTCGTTTACCTTCTGTTCCTTTCCTTCATGTTTTTATTATCTCCTTTTTTCTTAAAATTTCCTTGCAAGTTCCTATTACATAAACACCAAAGTGATATTTACCGTAGAGCACACGTGGACATCCGTTAGCTACAGAATTCACACTTCTGCGCAAGCGCGAACAGAACCATACAAATTCTGACGTCATAACAGTTGCACATCCCCAATTGTTGAGCGTTCAGCGTGTAAATCGGTTAGGGCGAACGTTTAGTCCACTGCATCACTTTACAGCTATCGCCAAATTCAATTTACGAGTGGTGAGGTTTGAATTTCCAATGAAATTAACTCAAATAGTAACGTCTGAATGAATAGCGGGACAGAAGAACAGTTCAAAGCGTATGTGTATGTATGTAATGACTGAAATGGCGATGTTTAACAGATGTCGGTAATGCGAATCAGTAGAAGTTCCTAGCTCTATTCTCAGCTCTGTAAAACTTGGAGGCACTCAAGAGTTTGATATTACAGAGATATGACCGGAGAAAAGATTCTATATATGTAATATAATTCGTTGTTGGAGAAAAGTGGGCAATATTTTGTGGGACAATTTAATGTTAAAAATATTATCCTATATTAAAATATATATAGCTGGTCACGGTAACGGAGCGGTCTAAGGCATGTACTATTTTCGCTTGTTGGGAAGCCGGGATCGTGGGTTAGAATCCCACAAAAGGCATGGATGTTTGGTGTGTGTATGCGATTATTGTGTGTTTGTGTTTTCCTGTGTTTAGGTAGAGGCCTTGCGACAGGCTGATCACTCGTCTAGGGATTCCTACCGTCTGTGAAATGGACATGAAGTGAGAAATCAGCCCCATATATATAAATATATAAA